TCACAGTTCAATGAAGTGGAAAGTCTTTCATCAGAAGAAAATCAGTCAAGGAATTGGATGGCAAAGACCTCATACATTGCAAAACAGTTGGTTGCAATTAAGGCCAGGGGTAAGATATGCATGATTCGGTCATGTTTCCTTTTGTCTATTTAATCAGCCTGAGGCATAACATCAGATGGCTTGAAGTAGCATTGTTTCCTTGTCATATCCTATGTTTTGCTGTATATTATGTGTACTTTATATGTACTGTATCAAAGGACTACAGTCTGTTCAAAATATAGATGTTTCATATCCTGAAATAACCAACACACTTTCATAGAAGCATTAACATTCTAAAGTAGTGAGCACTTCTGCTGAGGGGAAATTATTTTGGAGGTTGTTAGGGAATCATGTAGTAATAACGTCAGAGATAAATTCCTTGTACCACAGCCCTTCTCTATGGTCACAGTGGCAAAGACAATGACAGCCTGTCCTGATATTTCTCTTTCTGTCTCACAAGACATACTTTTCAGGGAGAGCTGTGGATCACTGTGCACCATGAGAAAAAAATTTTAAATTAATAAGAAGCTGAGTGGAGTCAAAGCTGAACTGAAAGCGAGCTAGACATAAACTAAAAAGAGTCCAGTAGTTTGGTGACCATCAGCTACTGAAGTCACAACACGCTACTGCCAGTTTTACTAAAAATCTCAGAACAGCAGGTAATCTTATTTACCATATGCTAAGCACGGTGCAGCAGATGGACCATGGCATTCTAGTCTTTTCTGTGCTTTCCTTGCGCTTGTCAATTCAAGCCCTGGGAAAAAGGCTGGTATCCAGTTGATAACACATGGATGTTCTCTAAGGGCTTTCATCAGTGCATTATTGCAGAAAGGACTGAAAATCCTTTCTCTATAAATTCAAATGAAGTTAGGGAGAGTTAGTGGTTCTGAAGATGGTTTATTATGTCTGTCTCAAAGTTGTCAAAAGGTAAGTCAGCCTTTAAAAAACAGATTAGCCAGAGCTGATCAGCTGGTAGAAGAGTGCTATGGAATATCACATATAAAGTATCTCCTCAAAGAAGCTCATAAACGAAGGAAATATCATCTTGTAGGTACTGATCATAGTTAGTCTGGGCACATGCCTGTTTCACTAGCATGCATGAGCCTTCAGTAACAAAATCAAGTCTTTATAATGCAGAGACTCACTGGAGCTTAACTATTGAGTTTTAAATTGTTTTTTTCTTTGTGAAATAAATTTTATGTGGCAGACTCTAAATTAAATAGAAAACTAACAGCAGTGTAGCTATGTAGACAGCTGATGTCCTCAGAACTAAAGAGTACATTAGCAAAAAATGTCTGAGATTACTATTAAAATCACTTTTAATAATTTACATGAAATCCTTAGCTCTGTAAACAAACTCTTTTAAAAGTGAAATTTAACATTATTTATTCTGCTTCTACTGTCTTTTATAAATCTGAGGACCAAGCATGCTCAGGGACCTTCTATAAGTATAAAGTAGTGTGGCAAGTATTTTTTCAAGAAACAAATTAGACAATCCGTAGCATTTTTGAGGTGCGTAAGGAAGGAAGATAAAACTTCTGTTATCATATCCTTATGCTTATTATCATATTTTAAAGTTACTACCCAAATTTCTCTGATTCACTTTGCATATTTATTCTAGCAAAATGATAACATAAGAAGGCTTAGAGGACTGCTTGGGGGCACCTCTTCAGTGGGTTCAAGGTGTTTTTGGCTAAGTACAAGAAAGAGGAAGGCACTCAGTGTTATTACCTTTGAAGCCTATCCTTTCCCACTGGAGGCATCCAATGACTGCCAACCACTTGAACATGGAAGTGTCTTAATGTTTTCTTTGTTTTAATGCCCTGCACAGAGCATTAAATTCCTGGCCACTTCTAGTGACAGATACTAATTTTAAAGATGTTTGCTGTGACCCAGAGCAGTTTTAGTGACATTACTCATCCTTTAAAGTCAGTTAGTCTTCTGGCCGCCTAGTGAACTGAAGTAGCTCGACATGGAAGGGGCAGGTAATCATGAGAGTCAGTGCAAAGGGGTGGGAAAGAGCACATTGTATGAGGACAGAGACTGGGATCTTGGCAAGCATGAGCTGGGTTGACTTAAATTGCCGTGGGATTGTAGACTCCTTCTATACACCTGGTTTCTAAAGTTATTTTTACAAAGGAAAGGAATAGCATTTTAAAAGAAAGCAAAGATACCACTCCCTGTGACATTCAGCTTCTGACTCCCCCTCATGAAGCAGGGTCCTTTGTGGACCTCCTGGTCTCTGTAGTCTTCTCAGCCTGTACTGAAACTAGCAGCAGTGATCTGTAGGACTGCCATTAATGAAAGGTCTCTCCTATCACAGGGTTCCAGTAAGTTCCAGCATGAGAATAGATCAGCTATCCAGGGAGTAAATATGAGCCCTGTGGTGCTTCCATAACCTGGGTTTGAGCAGTGGCTGGACTGGCTTGTGACACTGGGGTTCCACTTTCTCTGTGGTCTGTACAACATTGAACCAATGAGCAGTACCCTATAAGAACTAAATGGTATAGAGAGATTTTTCACAAGGTCACAGCATAGTTGAGGTTAGAAGGAAAATGCAACCCCCACTGCTCAAGCAGAGACACCCAAAACCAGTTGCCTAGGACAGTGTGCAAATGGCTTTTGAATATCTCCAATGATGGAAAATCTACAACTTCTATGGGCAGCCCATGCCAGTGCTTTGCCTGCACATTATAAAAGTGCTTCCTGATGTTCAGATGGTGGTCCTGTGTTTTTAGCTTGTGGCCATTGTCTTTTAAAAATCTTGGACTATTATATGAAACATGTTGCTAAAAATGGTCTGTCTTTTTTATTCTTAGAGATTGTGGCAAAAAAAAAAAAGGAAAAAATCCATTAACATAGGGTATATGCATTTCCATAATATCTATTCCACTTTCCTGAAGAAAATGCATTATAGTGGCTTAATAGTAAATGAATCTCTGATCTCCAATTATCAGTCCTTTATTTACCTATGTACTAATTTCTGAAAATACAATTTCAAATTCATCTCTGATAATCCTTTATACTGCAAAATGTTGTCCTATGTATTTTAAATAGCAGCTGGGACAATTAGATAAAAATATACAGAAATAATATCTGTTTTAATCCAAACATTTACCAGAGCTGCGAGCCTATAATTTTAGAGTTCAGAAAATGGGAAACATGCAATGTCTTTAGAGAACTTAAATGCAACAAGTTAACAGCTGCAACTTCATGTAGCTGTGCATCACTCTGAAATCATAATTTCAAGCTAAGAATGATCTTCCCAGACTGAGCACTCATGATCAATTTGAATAGAAATTATTCACTCAGAATTTGGGAAGCAAAGCAAAGAGTTTGAAGTGATTTATTCAGAAATTTCTCCTAAAGAGGAAAGTACCATAAGGTCAGGACTTCACAAACTCGTTATGAGCACTGAGGCAAAATCCCCATTAACCTAGGAGAATGTTTTGGGTGATGTGTTGTATCTATATATTATGAATCAGTTTTGAAATTTTCTCTTCATTGGGTTATGTCAAATAGACTTGACAACATTGCATTGAAGGTTTAGTGAAAGTGAATCACTCTCCTGCTCTTTTAGTCTTCTTAATATACACTATAATGCCTTTGAACCCTCTTTCCTCCTCTGCTGTTCCTGACTATTCTTCTGTGCATTTTTGAACCAGATTTGTCTAAGATATAGCCTAAATTTATCCACATCCCTCCAAAATTGCAAATGATAAGCTGGAGTTAAGCCAGTTGACTTTAACAGGAATGTGCGTAGTCGTGCCTGGTAGATTACAGTCTCTGTGGCTCTTTTGATCAATGCAGAGAGATATTAATTTCAAATGCATATTTTGTGCTTGGAGGTAACTTTGACCTAACTAATTTGCCTCTTTCATTGCAAATACATCTCAGCCTTCAGTCAGTTTGTGGCCAGGACCATATGAAGTATGACCCAAAGCTGCCTGGAATCTGTCTGCCCACCTGAAGACCATGAAAAGGTTAAATTGGATAAAAACTACCTGTTTAACTCTATTAGATAAGTTAAATTTCTGTCTTTTTGTCTGGAAGTAGGCAAGATAAATGGGTCTTATACAGGGAAACAGTGAGTTGTACTGTAGCTACTGCAGAGAATTTCACATATGCTCTGCTGTGTTGTGCTGGCACGGCTCCGATGCAGCATGAAGGGCACACTGCTCACAGTGTTAGCACATATGATTAAAGATACAGCAAGACAAGAAGCAGTCTCCCAGAAGAGTTTTAAAAACCACTTATTTAGAAAAACCAGTGCTTCCAAATTGTGGAACAAAATAAACAGCCCATGATGAACACTTGGTCTTCTTTTAATCTGAACTACCAGCCACTCTGCTGCCATAGCCCAGAATATTCAGATATTCTGGACACCTTCCAAAATTTTTGTCTCCATCAATCTCTAGATGATATTAATTTCCTGAACTAATTTCTTGTCACTTATTGAATGAAAACATGAGCTATATGTTTATCCCAGTAATAACAATACCGTTGTTGTTTTCTTGAGAGCAGATGCATCCATTACCAGATGAAAGCAAAAGTATCACAACTGTTTTATATGACTTCTGAAGCATCACCAATTCTTGGTGATGAAATCACCAAAATCTTTCTTATAATTTTATTCACCTGTCTGGGTTTTTTGGTTTTAATGACGACTCTGCCTTTTTGATATATCTGGTTATAGCAGGCTTTTACAGTCATGCTTTAGCTCACGGGTAGCTGCATTAATTTTAGCAAAGTGCCACAACAAACATCAACACTGTTCTCTGAGGTGCACATTACACCAGATTCTTAGATGGATAAGCTTTTTAATAAACCCTGCCTCACCATATGTATCACTTTTCTCAACTGTCTATAAACCAAGATTACCTGGGCATATCTCTCTCACACATACCTATGATTTGTCTAAGCTAAGGGACCACACTGACATAGATCAAGCAAAGGTGAAAAGCCATTGCACATATAGGTAATTTTAATCCATTCCATTTTTAAATACCACAATAAATTTAATTTTCACAATAAATTAAATAGCCATATTCAGTTTACAAAATAGAATTACTTAGTGTGAAACCAGTATTTACAAACATTGTACACTATGTACACCATGTTTAGCTTTGTCGACACACAAGTATAGAAGAAAAAATTATTTGACCTTTTCTTGACACATGATTGACATGCTACAAGTGACACTATGGTCCATACAATAAAACAATAGTGCAAACTCACCACAAGAACTCTAAAATAATGTAGTTTGTATGAGATAAGATATTCATTTAAAATAATAAGAAAATAGTACTATTCACTCTCATTGTAAAAATTCAGCACTGTGTTTAAAGTGTCAGTATTCCTTTAGCAATACATGTACCAAATATAGCCTCAAGATTATGCTTTCTCACAGCTTTACAGACTTTTGACAAGAATTTTTATGGCATAAACTAATGTTCTGCTTAGATCAATAAGTATGTTACATAAACACTTCACTAAGCAAGAGGAACACTGACCATTTTAACAGTGTCTGACTTTGTTTCCCTAAATACTTCCTTTCCCTTTATTATTATATCTTAAAAGATGCAACTATATTGACAGTAAATTTATGTTAGTTACTACTCTGTAGAAAAAAATCGATCCCACTGTATATTTGGTCACACACTGCAATATGTACACGTATGCATGAAAAAAGTTACTTTGCTAGTCGTATCTATGAAAAGTGCATATTTCAGCAGAGACATCCTATTGCATGCCTCATGTGCAACAGAAAGTGTTGTTTGAAGTTTTGTTTAGGGCCAGTTAAATGTCCTCCCCGTGATCTGGTAAAATTTTTGATTAAAAGGATGGAAGAACTTGCGCAATTTGGTAATGACAGAGGTGTCCACCTCTGGATGGATGCGTCCCTTGCTACCCGCCAGGCACTTGTTAAAGACAATGTTAAATCGCAAGCAGTAAAACCCTCTGGTGGCATTGAAGTATAAATTGTACTGACTTATCCTTGGAGGAAGATTTAGGAACTTCTCAACCAGCTGGAGTTCAGGCAGTGGTTCTGTGATGAGCCGATCTCCGTCCACAATATGAAACTGCTCGATTGGGAAGTATTTTAACCATCTCTCCAGATGTTTTGTATAGATGCTGGTTCTCACTGCCTTATACTTAGTGTTCACTTCGCAGGTATTAGGATCAATTGCCAGCTTCTCAAATTTGTAGTAAGTTTTGTTCTTTCTTTCCTTGCCTTCCAGCACCTGAGTGTAATCAGAAATAGCTCTTGTGGTAGGTTCCCTGACAATGATCAATAATTTGATAGATGAGTTCATTTTGTAAATCCTTTCAGGTACTTCCTCAGTGATAAAATACGCAGGGCTTTTCTCAATTGTTATTTGATGAGGGTAAGAAAAAGGCATTTTTTTCCGGTACCACTCAATTCCCTTAGCATAATTTTCATCATTGTCAAAGAAGTGAATCTCTTGAGAAGCTTTGACCACTGCAGGGTGAAGGTTCAGCATCTCCAGTAGTGCTCGGGTGCCTCCTTTCCGCACCCCAATGATAATGGCCTTGGGAAGCTGCTGAACCAGATTGTGCAGTCGAATTTGTTCCTTGGTGGCATTGCCCTTTCGAAATTCATGGAGCAGACCTCGCTTGAACTGCAGGGCTCGCAACGGGATTTCGTCCTGGCTGCGGGATCCAAAACGACCATCAATGGGGCAGAGGGGCTGCAGTCTGCAAGTAAAATAAGAGGTACTTGTAGAAAGAGGATATCTCTCAAGACAAGTTTTATGTACAAGGGAATCATGCTCTTGGGAACATATTCAAATGTAATGTGATATGCTCATTTTTCAACTTTTATTTTATTCTGCCAGCGATTAAATAATTTGCATTTTTTAAAATTGTTTAATTGGTTATTTTTTAGCAGTGATTTAGCTGAGAAATTTCTAACTTGACCCATCTGTCCTTTGCCAGCATAGGAACTGTGATTACTGGTCTTGTGTCTTCTTAAATCTTGCCTAAACTTCCACATTCCTCATTATTTTGTGATGAGTTTGGCAGTTTTTAAAGCATTGTAAGATGAATTATATTTGCACATTTTGATCTGAAGATACACCTCATTTAAGTAATCTCTTTCACACACTTTTCTCATTCTAGCCTGAAGTCTTCCCATTGTGCTGATCCAGAGATGGCTTTTTTAGTGAAGAGGAGAAAAAGGGATGAAAACTGGCTTTCTAAGTATCATGTTTCAGTATGTCTCCTCCACTTTACAATATGCCCAGTGTTTCTCTGCCAGTCAGAGCCAGAAAGATCAAGGTTCTGATTCAGATAAGATTAGCAAGGTACAAAAATAATGGCAAGAAGAGTTTTTAAATATGCATTTATTGCATTGTTACATCAACAATTTTCTTATAATCACTCTTGTATCCTCCCATTGAACCTTATTTTTTGTTTTATTATTTCTTCTTTTGCAACTGCATTTTTGCACTATTCTTTTATATTCAGCTACAATTTTTTCCCCTCTTTTCTACTTTCTAATTCTTTGTTATTGTATCTGATACCATTGGATCCAAGAAGTGGTTCAGTAAGAGAAATGTTAAAATTTTACTTCTACAGAACCTTGAATAAATTCTCATCCCCACTGTCAAATCAGCACCTTGGACATTATACAGGCCAATATTTCACTGAAGGTTAACTTGGTGTGTAGAGAGAGCTTCCAAGGTCCTAGAAAAAATATTATTACTAATTTTTTTGGAGCCATGCTCTCCAAAATTAAGGATATGTAAGAACAAAGGTTGCCTAGGAAATTTTAGTGTGAGCTTGCTGTGCACATATATTATGATACAGTTCTTAAATTACACAGCTGCATGCTATTATTTTTCACAGGACCCCTGCCTTAGCCAGTATACCAGATGGGCAATGCTCATTAATAGCTGTTTAGGTATTCAGTATTTATTCTAGTTTCTCAGCATGTGGTCCCTCACTCATTTACTATATATTATTCAAACCCTGCTTTCAGGACATAATTATTTATTTCTTTGCAGGTTTTCCATCCATCACTGCTTGTTGGGGTCTCTAATTTGACACTGATTCTAGGACAATGGATGGTTGGGACAAAGTAAGTTTGATCCCCCTAGCTGACCTGTTAGCTGCTTCCTTGATTATCCAGATGCTGAGAGATTATATCCTGTCCAGACAGAGCCAAAGAAATAATCCATAAGACATTGCTGGGTTCACATAAACTCTAGCTAAGTCCTGCAGACTAATTAGAAAGTGTGATGAAAAGTGAGTTCCTGTTATTTCTTTTCTCAAGCGTCTAGCTTCTTCTGACTCTTTGTTCTCTGCCATCTACCGAAAAAGCCTGTTTTGTGGCAAGGACTGAATCATTGAAAAGCTGATGCAAATCCACCCATATTGGGAAAAAAATAAAAAGGAAGAAATGTCTTAACAATGCTACAGTTTGGTCAGACTGTGGTGTGGCTGATGAGAGTCTTAATACATCAGCAAGGTGGCAGTTAAAAACATAAGAAACAGAAGCTGCAATTGCTGTCTCTGTTCTCTTCCCTCTCCTTCTGCATATTTGTTATTTGTTTTCAAGCGAAGAGGATTCCACAACAGCAGTTCCAGACCCATCTCAACTAATTTTATCTCTAGCTAGCACTGCCTTCAGTGTAACACAACAGCTTGTCAAACAGGGTGGTTTCCTTTGAAAATAAATAAATACTCAAGATATCCTCTAGCCTAAGGGAAAAGATTTGATGTTGTTAGAAGTCCTTCCTCAGCCTTTATATTTCGGGTTTTTTTACTCCTTCCCCCTGATTCTACTCTCTCTAAACAATCAAAAAGTAACTTTTAAAAGATCTTGGCAGTGGTAAGTAAAGGGCAGATCCTCATAGTTTAAACCAAGGTGTAACTATTTACTCTTACATTGCAACATGATAATATTCTTAATTGTCTGAGTAATTTTCCTATTAAATAACAGTTCTTTGCTAAGAAAGAGTACATGGCACTTATATCACTGAGTTTCTCTCCCAGGTAATTTCTCAAGCTGCTACCATAAAACTCCACAATTCTTCTTGAGAGAACTCACCATGAGCCAATTAATCTCCAGGAACTGCATTTCTGAAAAGTTTCAAAACAGCTGAAGTAAGTCTGGCAATCTTAATGACCTGTCTCACCTGATCCAGAATACTTGTTAATTTTCTTCCAATGAAGGTGTCACAGCAGCAAAAGATTATAAGCCTGGTTCCAGCAGGAGTATTTTGTAGCATGGGAATCAGATGTGGAGGCTCCTGGTACTGCCAGTCAGGGAGTTGGGTAACTCAAAGACTAACCCAGGTATGCTCAAATTTGCCACAGAATCTATTTGAGCTTCCACATATGAAGCAGATCCATGCACTCAGGAGCTGAAGGAAGGTGGCCTCCCCTGGAGGGAAGTGCTCATCTTATCAGATTTTATGACTCAATGAATCATATAAACTAGTGGTAATTTCCCTTTGGGCCTAAGGAAACTCAAGACACTGCCATTGGAGAGCCTAATCTGAGGCTATTAAACAAGAGCCACCCCCAGTTCTCTTGTTCAAATTAGATCAGCATAAATTAAGCATAAATGTGTCTGGATTTCTTCCTGAACCATTAGTTATTCCAAAGTCTGTTGAAGCCACTCAGCATCCTTTTACTGAGAGATTCAACAATGATGAAGCAGAAGAATATTTCTAGTTAATTCATCCATGTCTTGTCCTTTCTAGTACTTCTTTCTCTCTATTTCATAACAATTCCATACACAGGTCTGCTTTTTAGCAGTGTGGTATGCTTCACACTGGGTAAAGCAAGAGAACAAAACTGAATTTTACTGCTGTTGGCAACATTATGTATGAAACCAGTGGAATTCATTGCCACAGGAGGTCAGTGAGTCAAATACTGTGGAGAGATAATTTTATAGCCATCAGTAAATTCTGAAGATGTGCAAGCATAGATAATTGGAGAAGGTTAATTAGACTTCATGCCTCTGAGCATAAAATATACTTTTGCAGGGACCAGTAAGGATTTCTGCCTCCATTTACAGAATCACAGTAGTCTCAGTGAAGTTTCTACTTCTGAAGCATCAGAGGACCATTAGGGGAAAGAAAATATAAGTTCCAGGGCTTAATTTGCAATGCACTTGCTCCTAGCTGAGTACATGGCCTCCTTCTTCTGGAGTGGATTTGAGGAGTGGAAGAAGGCACCCAGTGACTGCCAATGGGGCCCACCATTAACTAGCAATGGACAGTAGCTAGTTATGTTTTCACTTTCCAAACACTGGATAGTCACACAGCATTGTATGACAATTTTGAAGTCAAAAATATGTTGCATCATTTAAAAGAAAGAAAAGAATACAGCATTAACACTTGCAAACTGTCTACCTGCTTCTGGAAATCTTGTAGGTTTTTTATTTTTTTTAATTCATTCTTTCTAAACAGCTTTCTTATTTTCCTTGGTTGTTTGTTTTGGGTTTTTTTTTCCCTTTTTTTTTTTAATTATTTTTTTTCTTTTGAGTGTGTTGTGCCTTTGTGTAGCACCTACCACAGCAATCCCAGGCCATTTCAAAGCTGACAGGAACAGCAGTGTCAGTGCAGCTAGCACTACCATTACATTGTCAAAAACCAGTCAAAACTCAGCCTGCTCAGAAGTGCCAAACATTCTTTGATTTTCTCTGCTGTGCTTTCTACTACTCTCCAGGAAATCATTTGCAGAGAAAACCCACTTATTTAGCACATTGAGCTACAGAAAATACCAGCTAATTACCATAGTTAAAATTCTCAAACCCTGAAGCAATCTTTCAAATGAAATAGTATTCAAAATTTGACGAGCTGCTCTGCAGGCTCATACTTAATTCTAACTACCACTGTAGCACATTAATTGCTTGCTCACAAATTTAGAAAAGGAGATGTATAAATACATCATAACTGTTTTGCTGAAACTAGAGGTCAACACACAGATGTACACAGGCAAAATGAGCTCCTGTAATGACATTTTTACTGGATGCTGGTTTATTTCTTCTCTGAAAACAAGTGTCGGTGTGCTTAGAATACAAATGGACAAACAGAAAAACTTTGACACGGATGACTGTGACTATTTTCCTACTCTCTTCTCTAAAGGGTAGGAATAAATAATGAAAACCACTATTAAAATAGCCAGTTTTTCTGTCCTCCCATACAAATAGACTTTAAGAAAAAAACCCCAAAAGCCAACAACAAATCAAAAAACAAAGCATGAAAGCAATCAGACCCTTGAAGCAAAAACTCAGACAATCCTAGCCCATTCTACATAAGAGAGCAGCTACTTAATGACTTACCTATCCAAACTCCCAACTCTGGCAACTAGATATAGGAGACTTCCAATAGCAAGGCTGCCTAGCACAAAGAGCTTCTGTCTCAGCAACGCCTGCTGTTTGAATAGCATGGCCCTCCATCAATCTTCAGGACTTCTTCAGTCTGCAGAGACAAGAACACATAAAACACTCATCAGAAAGCATAGCATGTGCAGGGCAGTGTTTAATCAGGTGTTGCACCTGATTAAGCCACCCTTGCAAAATCTTTTCAAAAATGCAAAATAAGTAGTTAAACTTTCTTTTTATTTTTGCTATCAGTTTGCAGTCCCACATGGCAATGTATCTGGGGTAGGATGATAATTCTGGAAGTGGCGGTTCAGCTGCATCCACCATTACTAGGTCTGTCAGATAGCCACAATGTAGGTCTTTACTGTAGAAGCTCACATTGTAATGGGATATCTTGTTAGGTAAATATGTTTATATTTTAAGCCTTTTGGAATCAGACAGATTTAGATTTAAACAGAGCTTTAAATGCCCTGATGTAAAGTAAAGCCGCAGTAACCATGAGTTAGGCTTGCAGGTCCTGTGTACAGTTTACGGAGGCACGTTTACATTATCTCTATGATTATTAGAGTGTATGCTGGAGAGAAATCTAAAAAAAGAGGTCCTGATCCATGCTAGCAAGTCAATTATGACAGAACTGAGAACCAGGTATCTGGAATGGGCACAATAATGATTTTTCAGCATCAGTGTATTCTATCAGCTGTGCCTGTGCTGCGCCTGTCACCTCAAGACCTGATGGGACACAAACTTTCACCTTTGAAACAAGCATGCCCACATCCCCAGTTTTTAGCAATACCAAAGCATATATTTAAATATCTTTTTCTGATGTGCTTCAGAGACCATCTAAATCCCATAGTTGAGTATTGCTTCAAATACTATAGTTATTGAGATAGTCAGGAGTAAAAATATGTGATCTTATGCCAAGAGGATTTAACCAGGAGGCTCTTAGCCAAGGCAGAAAGAAGTGCTGAGTAAAACTGTTTGTCTTTAGTTTGACTCTTCCTCAAGAGTTACATTTATGTTCTGGGCTGGATTACATGTGTGATCTGTGCAGATCTCTTTAGAATCTCAGACCTGGATTCCTAATATATTCTGACATGAACTGAGGGGAAAGATCAGGTCCTCCTTTCAAAGCACAGTCAAAGACGACATAGTTCTTCATTCTGTACCAGTTCTGAGCTTCCTTGTACATATGCAGGAGAATTAAGTTTCAATCATTTCACTGCGTCAGGAGGAGTAAAATCATATAATCTACATAAAAAAATGCTTTCATCACCAAATGGTAGAAAAATCATAAATATAAATTGTCATAATCTGAAATACTGATCCAAAGTCTCATTCCCTTTATCAGGGAATATTTCTTGTATTATGGAGTAGTTTGGACAAAAATTTTTTTTCTAAATTTTGGTTGGACTTATTATGAACAATTTTTGATGTCAAGTTTCTTAAGATTTACTACAGCAAAATTTCTTCTGCAGCACATTTTCTTCTTTTTCAGCCCTAGGATTTACATAAAGCAAGACTGGGATACATTATTATAAGCATGAAACTATATGCAGAGGCAGAATTTTTGGTGAGATTCCAAGGTTTGGCTGGCCACTGCTAAACACAGCGTAAAAGCATCTTTCCATTTCTGGAAACATCTTTTTCCATTTCTGCCCATGATGTTAAATTTTTGGCCCAGAAGGCTCACTTAAAAATCCAGGAAACAGTCAGAGAGATAATACAAGCTGGAAGCCTTTCCCAGCAGGCAGCACTCATGTAGCCTGCCTGCCCCAGGGCTGGCTGGGTTTAAAGGTGCAGATGCAGGTCATTCCAAACTGGCATTCTTTAAGCATAGCTGAAGAGCCATTCTGAAGCATATTTATTTTACTGCTATAGAGAAAGCTTTCTAATTTCAACCCACCATCACCTGATAAAAGAGACACACAACAATGAAGTTCTGAGTCTGACTTGTCTCTAAAACACTTCCAGTGCAATAATAATAACTCCTTTTAGAGCCAGGTCACAGCTCAGGACAACCTATCATGCAGGATAACTAATACAGAATATATTGCTTTTTACATAGATAAAAGCAATTCTATAATAAGATTCTTAGATAAAATCTTTATTGCAACAAGAATAATATAAAACACAGAGTAAAAGAACTTTGCAATGTAAATAGAGAGACAGAAGAAGTATTACCATCCTTTAAAAAATAAATGAGGAGCAGAGGTACAGAGAGATTAAGTGATTTGCTCAGGGTCACAGAGAAAACCTGTAGCACCCGTGAGATTCAGTCTGAAATAATTTCTTTCTAGTGCTTTAACTACATGGTAAACTTTTGCCATTTTGTAATATGCATTTTTTCCCATAAAAATAATGTATAAATGAGGAATTCTATACATTGATCAAGGCAGAAAATATGTAGTCAAAGTTGAACTATTAAGAAAAATGCACAGATGCTGCACCTCTGTGTCAATATGTTACTAATTACTCTTTTAACAATTTAATTTTAAAAGATGAAAGAGAAGAACAGGAAGCAGAGGATGAATTTTCATAGGTCCCAGATTTTAAATCTTTTCGTGCTGCTCCCTCTAAATAAAGGTTTATCTTCAGTGCTACAAAAATGAACTTTGTCTCTCAGAAAACATATATATATATACAGCCTTCTATACATTAAACTAAAGTTTAATTTTCCATGTGTTCTCCTTTATACAGGCTCTTGGATCCCACTTCAGTCCTGCCTGCAAGCCTTAGTGAGGCTGTGGAGGTCATCAGGACAAAATAAAATCAAATTAATGGCAAGATATTTCCTGAAATGTATTCCACAAGGCCTCATGACCTCAATATTAATGTTTGAAATTAGAGTCAAGACAAAAAAAAACCAACCAACCAACCAACCAAACCACAAAACAAACACAAACAAAGCAAATCAAGCAAATCAATCAACCAAAAAAAGCCCAAACCTGTTCCAGTTTTATATTTGCACGTACCTAAGTACAGAAAACTTTTCTACAGATTGACAAGTATTAAGCACACACTAGAAATGTAAAGATGACGCTATGTATTTGTTTGTTTCATTTTTGTTTTCATTTTTAGCATCTAATTTAAAGGCCATGGATGGAGTTTTATTCCAGAGAGATGGTCTCAATAAAACTTTCCCTAGATGTTAATTCTTTTCCTGAAAAAAACATAGAAGAATATTATCTTGACTCCAGAAAAGGCTACACCTTGCAATGGATATACTGAGACAGTTCTGTGTGCCAGAGGAGAAGGCTGAAAAAACATTTCTATTTAGGACACAGAGTTAATACAACCAGAATGTGATTAAGGTGAAGGTCCCTAAGGTGAAAATGTTGCTGGAGACTAACATGGCAACACTTAAATGAAATGGAAAGAAGAAATGAAAAGGAAGAAATTAAAATTCTGGGAAGTATTATCAGGTGTACAAAGTTTTCTGTAAGGAATGCATACTTTTAAACTTTACAAGAAGCTGGAAGGGAAGATAAAATGTAATCCAAAGCAACAAGACTTTTAGCAGTTATTGGAGGTAAATAAGGTATTTTAAAAAAAATTTGCTCTCTTTTAGGGGCATGAACTGAACTGTCACAAAAGCTACTGACAAGTGGGAGGAGGGTTGGGAGAAAGCTGCAGGCAGAATTTTCCCAGTAGTTGAATGCTGAATGTAGAACCTCCCACCCAAAGAGATGACAGCACATTGTTGCACAGCTCCAGTGGGCTTACAATTAAAACATCTGTCTTGGACAATTTAGTTAAATATGCATACAAGAAAGTTGTTTTGTGTCTATCTGAGACAGTCATAATGTACAAAGAGCAACACAAATTACTGAATGCATGATTTCTAGAAATGTGTGAAACATCATGTGTATTTAAAAATGTGGTTTGTAAATTCTGTGTAAATTAAAAGTGAAATGTGGTTTGTGATTTCAGATGTACATCTGATCTGAATTATTATACTGACATGGTACAGTTCAATAAAGAAACATGAGAAAGTGGCCTTACCAGTGTATTGATGTGAATGCCTCATTTAACCCCTTTCCCTACATACCAAATTTGCTGGTGAGAGGACCAGGGTTATTGAGTGGACTGCCAAGAGGCAGTACCACTATGTAGAACTCAGATGATAATACCAACTGAAAAATAGATGGACTGTTCCTGACAAGATGAAGGGATCATGGATAAAGGTAGTGGGTATGCCGGACAAATAATGTAATTTTTTTGTGAACTGTTGTAAAAGTTAGTTTTTGGTTCAAATTAGATCAAAGTCAAATGAGTAGGAGAAAACAGAAGAAGCATGCTAGTAATGATGGCATTACTGATAAAAATATGAATTGTGCAGAAGCACAGAAAAGAGAATCTGCTGCTATAATCACTTATTCCAAATATACAGACAATGAAACAAGAAATTGCCAGGAACTTGTTTGCAAATGATCAAAGGGAAATTTTTGGACACATGGAGCAGACATGAGAAAATGTTATAGATAAATAAATAGCATGTGGATGGAAGTATAAGAAACAACAACAACATCCTTTCTTTTTGCAAACAGGCTGAAGAGATACAGTCTTGATAGAGTTATGTGATTAATCAAAATGAAGCAAAAACCAAAGGCAAATATGCACAAAGGAAGCTAGAAAAAGAATAAGTAAGATATGTTTTTTATTAGAATTTGTTTGGCGTGTTTATTTATTTTTAATTTTTCACACCAGCAGGGGTCAGCTGTTGACCAACAAATATTTGTTGTCATACACTGCAGAAAGATCTCTGGGTTTATAGGAGATTTAAACACAGTGATTGGAGACAAGTCAGGGAACTTATCACTGGGCATGTTTGCATTATGTCTCTTGAACGTTAACTACAGTTTCTTCCACTTCTCACTGTCAATAAAAATCAAGCACCTAGTCTTTTTCTGGGGTATGAAATCATATGGTTATTGGGAGAGGAGGGAATTTATGCCTCAAACTGTGTGCATTCTCCCCAGCTCATGGTCTTAGTCATGGTCTGCCTGGAAGAGTCAGTCATGTTACTGCTCCTTCTTCTCCTCCAGGTCCTCCCCAGTCCCTTTTTTCTGTCTCACTGGCCTGGATAAGTGGCAAGGA